ATATCTGAATTTCATTGGGATATTGCATAATCATTCTGTGATTCTCCCCATGCGCGTGGTAAATAAACTTTTTTCTTATTAATCTGCCTTAATTGTGAGTTGATCTTTCAGTGAACTTTTGGGGGAAAGGGCAATTTTCCCCTCACCCCTACAGGGGCTTTCTCTGGTTGGTCCTAAGTTGGAAGCAGGGACAAAATTAAGGAAGCAGCTGGTTATTAATCAAGTGTTACAGGGGTTATCGTTTGGCTCTGGAGTGTTGCTAAAGAGAGTGGTTTGATGTCCTAGAGTCTGGTTGTAGCTGGCAGGCTGGCTTTTGGGGCTGGTTGCTGCAGATTGGGGGTCAGAGTTCTGTTCTTATGTATGGCTCGGGCATTTCCTGTTTGATCTTCAGCCTTTCCCTGGGTTCTCCTGACAAATCAGAAGACAGACCTTTGGTGGCCAGGCAATTCAGATCAACCTTGCCCCTGAGAAGGACTCAAGAAGTGGAACAAAAATAGCTTACAAAAGTCTCACTGAAAGCACCAAAGAGCTTGCAAGATCTGGCAGAAGACAAAAACCCAGAGGGGTGAGCCTAGACATTTCAAGCTGCTTTTGCCCCAAGGGCATTTCCTGTTCCAGGGAATTAGTCTGAAGATGAACTTTGCTTCTGGCCTTGTCCTTGGACAGACGCCAAAGCCCCCTAAGATGGGGAAGGACAGCACTTCACCTGACATCAACACGGCTATGCCAGCTTTCCTTCGGCAGTATGTCTTCTTACTGATGATATTAACCTTGATCAATTTTTGCTGGGTGTCTCCACTGATCAGAAAGAGACAAGTGGCCCTGACATGCAGGAGCCAAGTCTTGGGTGCTCCTGTCGAACACCAACAATGACACAGAGCACTGACTTCGGGCAAACCTGCCCACAATCAAGTCTCAACTTAGAAAAACCAAGAACCAAACCCAAAACGACCAAACAGCACCCCCTCCTGGTTCAGACGAGTGATTGCTGCTTCTTTGCTAATACAGCTTTAGCCTTGCTCTGTCTGCTGAAGAGTGTTCAGATACCCAATCGTGGAATTACTCCTGCTACCTGACAGCTTCCACCCAGAGCAGAGCCCTGTTTTCTTAAACCCTCCCCTAAATCAAGGCCAAATCTTGTGAGGCCGTTTAAAGACCCTTTTCCTGAGACACCCTGCGGTTCTCTACGGTGTGTGTTCTCCCTCCTACTGTAACCAGCAGCGGACCCAACGCCTGCAGCCACATGTGTGTCCTGGTGGCCTTCGCCTGTCAAGACCTTGACACTGTGAGGTGACTGCATATAGCTTTCCCTTTGTAGTTAATAAATACCTTGGGGCTGTATTTGAGATTATACACATATTCCTGTTCTCCTCAAACGTGTGCCCACTATCCTTAACATTCGCTGGCAGATCTTATCTGCACCATTTACTGTGGTCTGCCTGGTGGCAGTTTTCCATTTCCTCTTCTCTTCTACACTTACTAACTGGCATTCTTCTATAAGAAACCCTTCCCCTACTATATATTAGATTAATTAACAAATTGTTCGAGCTTTGGCCAATGGGAGCTCCTTGAGGTTGGTTTCTGTGTTCTTTTGACAAGGGCCATTCTTTTACGAGCACTTTGTCACTTTCTGGTATGAGAAGATGTTCCAGAGTCATCTTGTAGTCTCCCTGCCTCAACCTTGGAGTGAGTTATTTTTACAAAGAGCCTGGTGCCTTTCACTGGAGAACGGTGCTTAGAAGCCAAGATCTGGGCAGAGTTGCTTGCTGCTCCTCGGGTGTCCCTGCTTCTGCCTTACACAGGCTGGGAAATATATGCGTGACTGCTAACCCTTGTGCAGACACAAATATGTCTGCACGCATATTAAAGTCAGGAGTTTATGCTGATACCTCTGATTCCTTATGTTGATTCCAATCCAACACGACAGATCTCACTTTAGCCTTTCTTACTTCCAACTTCTTTCTCCAACAGTGAGAAACCCAGCTCTCGTTTTCTGACTTTTTTACTCATTTGTTCAATTCGAGTACCCGCCTAAAGTAGTTTCAGAATTCCTTGCCACAGCCTCAGGGGAAACACGTCCACTGACCACATCACTGCAGTTCCATGCAGTTCTTTTTGCCTTTAGTGATACAGTGTCCAGTCCAGGTACCCTTTCCCAAAATGATTTAGGTGAGTCCTTTCCTCCCCAGCCCTTTCAGTGCCATTGTGTTGTTAGGCTCAGGTGCTATCATCTGCATTCCATTTGGGGTTTTGTTTTTTGGGTGTGTGAACACTCTGGTTCTAAGAGTCCTATAAAAGGCTAGATGCAGGGGATACCCTCTCTCCATACTATCATCTGTTCCTATCCCCCTCCCTTTTTTCTAGAGGTAGGATCTTGCTCTGTCACCCAGACTGGAGTGCAGTGGCGATATCTTAGCTCACTGTAACCTTGAACTCCAGGGCACAAGCAATCCTCCCTCCTCAGCCTCCCAAAATGCTAGGGTTGCAGGGGTGAGCCCCTTATCTCCCTTCTGTACTCCCCTTCCACCCTCTCAGGGACTTCTGGTTTACCCTTTTCTGTATTTCTTTTGCACACATGAGCAGATTCATGTATATTTTCTTATATCCCCTTCTTTCCTACACAGAAGACAGCATTTTATAGGATACTAAGTTTTGTCTTGCCTTTTTCACTTAACAGTATGTCTTAGAAATCCCCTCACATCAGTTGCAGAGCTTTTCCTCCTTCTTTTTAACAGCTAAAGAAATATATTTCTAATAAAACATAGACAAAAGAGGAAATAAAAATGGAAATGATAAAATATTTGAACTGGAAAATAATGAAACTGTCACATATTAAACTTGTGGTTTACAGTTAAAGCAGGAACTAGCGGGAAATTTATGCCCTCAAATACATACAATAGAAAAGAAACAAAGACTGAAAAATGAAAGAGTGTGCACCTAAGAAAGTAGAAAAATAACAAGAAAAGCAACTCAAAGAAAGTAAAAGGAAGGAAACATACTGTTAAAAAACAGACTGTTGAGGATAACACTATAAAGACAGTAAGGGGGGAGGGGCTGTTCTGATTTCTGAACCTGAACCGTGGCTGTGGTTGGGATTCATGTTATTATTTGTTAAACAGAAATGTTACGGGCCAGGAGAAGCGGCTCACGCCTGTAATCCTAAAGCCCTGGGAGGCCGAGGCGGGAGGATCACTTGAGCCCAGGAGTTTGAGGTTGCTGTGAGCTACGTTGATGCCACGGCTCTCTAGCCTGGGCAACAGAGCAAGACTCTGTCTCAAAAAAAAGAAATGTTACATTTTACGCACTTTTCTGCACGTGTATTATTATATTTACAATTAAAATGGGGAAAAAGAAATTCCAGGCTCTGAGAGAAGCATTGCTGGAGCTGTGCCCAGACAGCCCTTCCCGGCAGGTGCCCTCCAGCCCCAGCACAGCCTCGTCCAGAGTCTGCATCCTGGGAGCCCCAGGAAGAGTCTGGCACAGGGTGCTGGACTTGGGCACCTGGTCCAGGAGTGAGAGGCACCTCTCAAGGCCTGACCTGACTTCCATACCCTGGTGGTCCCCAAGGTATGCGGCTGGCAGCAGGGCTGGTGGCATGCTCTGAGAAGGCACCCTTAGAGGTTTAGTGCTACCAACTGATCTTCCAGAGACGCTGCACCTGATGGGGACACCCCCCCTCACCATGAGTAAACACCAGATTAAATGGGGCCTATGTGCCCCGCCCCCACCCCATGATGGGAACCAGGATGGAAAAGTGACTTGAGGTGTGGTCAGCCCAGAATGCCAGGGATGAGAGGAAGCAGACCCCGGGTCACAGGCGGCTGATGTTCTGGGCCCAGTGGCCCTCTAATGGCTGATGTACCCGATCTGCAGATTGCGGATGATCCCACCCGGGGAAGCAGCCTCAATGACGACAGGGTACTCTCAGGGCCAGCTTTTGCTAACCCTTTGCTAAAATGTTTAACAGGTGTCAGAGGGGCCCTGGGGGCCTCTTCCTGCCTCAGCCCACTCTACTAGCCCCTGCTCCGCTGCCCTCCTGCCCCAGCCCACCTGGGTTCTCTGAGGGCCTCCAACCCCAACACCCACCATTGGCCACCCCCACCCAGCACCACGAGGCTGCACCTGCGTGGTGCTCAGCGCGGCATAGCTCATCAGGGCTGGAAATGTTCTGCCCTGCCTGCCATGTGGTAACAAACTTCTAGAAGATCTGCTGTAAAGCCACCCTAGTAAAAGGGAAATTGATCGCTTTGAAGAGGGTTGGCTGAGCATAACTCTTCACTCAACAGCTCGAGTTATTTACAGAGTTTCCTTCCTGCAAACACTGTTGGGGTTTAAGTTTCAAACCTCTGACAATTTTTCGTGCATGAAGCTTGTGTATCTGTGGTTTCCTCTGTTCTGTGTGGCTGAGTATTGTGCACAACTGCATCTCCCACCACCCAGGGGGACGTCTCTGTTCCCGGCGATGGATCCCATCAATCCCCACCCCCACTCAGTCACACCGTTCCTCCTTGCATGCTCCAGATTCATGCACTGAAACACCCAAATGAGCCCCTCTGTTTTCCAGACGTCTACCTCCCCTCCTACAGCATCTCTGCTCTGCCTCGTCTGAGTCTGTGGATGCTAGCCTGCCACATGCGCTTCTGATTAACCCGGTTCCAGAATGCCTCAAGCATTTTTGCCTACTGTGTATCTTGCCCTCAGGCGGATTCACATGGTATTCTTGCTTTTCCCTCTGGGATGACTTCGATCATCCTTCTCTGGGCCTGGGGGTTTGGGGGATCCAGGGATCCACCATCTCATCTTGTCTCATCTTGCTGCCACCTGAGACACAGCTTCTTTTAAGTCCCTATTAAATGTTTCTTTCTGAGAAACTGGATTCGTTAGCCTTTTGCTTTGGCCTTTCAGCTTCCTCAGACCTAGGGGGCATTCCGCCCTCTGCTTGCCTGTGTGTGCAAACCACGCTCATCAGAAGCGTGGGAAGCTGCAGGCTGAGACCTTACCAGGCTGGGCCAACGTCGAGTGTGCCGTGACTGTCCTGCTGCAGGTGGGTCACGGGGCAGCTGTTGCTCCTGCCAGCTTAGCCCAGTACTCAGTGAGCAAGGAGCATTTCTTCATTTCATCGTTCTAGCAGCCCTGCGAGTTGGGTCACCGGCATTCTGCAGACAAGGAAACAGACCAAGAGGTTTAGCAAATGACCTAGGAGTTAGGATCTGAAACAAGGTCTGCTTGACTTCAGAAAGAGTGAGGACTGTCATTTTGGCCCTGCCTTGGTTATGTTTTAAGGGGTGGCTCAAAGGAGATACTAGGACAACTTCCTGTGGGCTGTGACATGCTGCATGAATGTCATGCCTATCGGTTATTAGAAGTCTTTGTAAAAATTTTGAGCAAACACCAAGAAGGCCAGTGGGCTTGGGTGCTACTAGAAGGTCTTCTGAGGCATGTTGAGGTAGGGATACTTCAGTGGCACTTTAGTATTGCCACAGTGTCCAGGTTTAGAACTTAACCTCACGGGCCCCAGAAATACACAGTAACTCCATTCTCAAGGAAAGACTCACACCAGCCAAGCTTAAGGGACAGGTGTGTGATGAACCTGTAAGGATCAAGTCAACATCCCAAGAGAGTAACTAGCACAGAATGGAATCTCTCCATCAGAACCGTCAGCACAGTTTTCTCCTTATTCTGAGCCCCCTGGAAGCTAAATGACCATCACAACAGTGCTTGGTGGGTAGGAAGTCCTAAGTCAAGGTTTAGTGGCCTTGGGCAGCACGTACTAACTCAGGCATCTGTGGGTCGGGGACTGTGAGCTATGAGCCCTTTCCCTTGGGAGACCTGGGCAGATGCTGCCAATGGTCCAGGGTGTCTCCCTCCCCCCTACTGCCCCCAGCTCTACGGCTGATCACTTTCCTTTTTGAAAAATATCCTTCCTCTTCCTTTCTTGAGATAACCCTCATTAGGTTATGGTCAATGTTTGTTGTCCTGGGGACCCTTCATTCTTTTTAAGTTGACTTTGCTCAGCTTTCCTCTCATTGTTAGCAGTGGCTCTGGCTTCACAACTGGTAAGGAATTCAGGTGGCTGGGTGGTGGCCCAGGTGGGACTGATTCCATTTCACTGTTTGGATCTCTGTCAAGCTGCCAGGTCAATATGGTTACCACTAGCCCATGTGGCTCTTGAGCACTTGAATGATGCCAGTGGAACTAAGAAACTGACTGTATTTCATTGTAATTAATTTAAATTTTAACAAGCTATTAATTCAGGTTTAATAAATGTTTAGAAAACTTTTACATGTGTCTATAATTGGGTATATGAGTCTACTTTTTCAATTGTAAATTTTGTATCATCTAAAGACAAATCAAGGATTTCCATCTGAATTGAGGTGAGTTTTAAGTGTAAAATACACACCAAAATTTTAAGACTTAGTTCAAAAAATGTAAGCTATCTCACTAATAATTTTTCATATTGATTACATGTTGAAATAATACTTTAGATATAATGAGTTTAATAAGGTATCTTGTTAAAAATAAGATTTCACTTTTTTTGTATGTTGTTTTACTTTTTAAAAGTTGGCTATAGGATTTAAATGGCATACAGAGTAGCCCAGCCCACAGTTCTGCTGGACAGTCTACTCTGGGTGGTGACCCCTCTGGAGTGCGTGCAGGGGCAGTGACAAAGCGAGGGAGGCTGAGGGACTTGGCCAAGTGGTCAAATAGGGCCAGGCCACTCCTGTGTGTGGATATGCAGACGTGTTGGGACACCTTCCAGGTGGCTCAAGGAGGGTTGCCATGTTCCCGCTATGGTGCTGTGGCTGAAATGCATTCCTGTGGGTCTGAAGGGAGGGCAGAGAGCCTGGTGTGGCAGAGGACGCAGTCATTTGGTCAGTACCAAGTAGTTGCTTTTTGAAGGTAAATGACACAGAGAAAGACCCTGAAAGAGGTAATGTGGTGATTTGAAAACAAATGACAGAACAAACCATCCAGGAAAACTCAGGAAGACCTGAGTCTTCCCCAAAGTTCCAACCACCTGTCTTACCCAGAGACCAGGGTCTCAGAGTGGCCACCATCACAGGCGTGGACAGCTCCATTCTGTCACCTTCCAGGCTTCCCCACTCCTGCTCTGAGAACACACACCCACATTTTCAGACATCCCACCCTGGAACCCCAGGTGTGAACATGCCCTCTGGTCTCCTTGTCTCACCTGTCCTCCATTTCACCCCAAGTATGACCATTCTCCCAGTCCTGATCGCCACACAGATGACTCAAGCCAATATGGGTGCTACTTGGGTCTTAAGAACACATGATCCAAGACAGGTTTGGGAAAGGCTGTGGTATGGACTGTGAACACTCAGCAGCCAACAATCTGGACTCAACACTGGATTGGCCACTATCCCCTCTCTGGGTCTCAGATGTGCTCGCAGGTAGCAGGAGTGTGGAAACTCACACCCTCATTGAACCACAGCTTCCAGGAAAGAGCTTCCTGGAGCCAACCAGACTGTGTGTGGCTGCCTTTGTGCCTTGCAGCCATTCTATTCTGGGAACATATACTAATACACAAGGACTGTGCAAAGATTTCATCATGATAATCACATTGTTATTTATTATATGGAAAACCTAACACTAGGAGGTTGATAAAATCCATTGGAATGTCCACACAGAGGAACACTATTCAGCCATCAACTTAATTAATCTCTGAAAGTAGGACAGAAAAGGGGAACAGGGAAGAATTTTCACTTTATGCATTATTATGTTGCACACGGTTCACTTTATATATTTCTGTCCTCTTTGTTGCAACCACCAGGTATTTGTAAGGGTTTTAAAATAACCAAGTGGTAAAATGATAACTAAGTAAAAAAATTTCATCATCTTTCATGTTACATAGTTTCACATGAATCTAACTAAAAAACGTAAAAAGCAGGTTGGAAGGTATTATTATCCTTTTTTCCCCTAAAATATACATGCAATATATGATGTTTATTTCCCTTTGCTTCATTTTCTATTTCTTTCCCCACGTGACAGGCATTACTTGTGTAAGTTGCAGATAAGGCAAACATAAGAAATGAGGATGGCGCTGCAGGGCCTGTGTGCTGTTCAGGGACCTGCCTCCGCCCACCTCTCAGGCAGGCAGCAGGGTCCGCGGGGAGCCCCCGTAGCCGGCCAAACGGCCTTCCAGGCCCCCTCCCCCGCCCCACCCCGACCTCCCTGCCCTGGCCCTCCAGCCTCGGGCTACGGCGTTGTCAGAGCCCGGAGCCCCCTGCCTCCCACCCCGCCCCAGCTTTCCCGTCCTCGGGGCCACTCCCGGCCCCACCCCGGCCCCCCTGTTTCAGGCCCGTACCCGCTGCCCCTGGCCCCACTGCCCTCCAGCGCCCCAGGCCCCGGCCCCAGCCGCGGCCCTCGGCTCCAGGGACCGTGAAGCCCCCAGCCTCTCTCCGCCCGCACCGTCACGCTCTTCCGGAAGTTCGCCGGAAACGGAGCCAGGGGGCGGGCCCCTTGGTGCTCGCCGGGACACGCCGCCCCGCCCACTGCAGGCTGGGGGCGTGGCCCCAGGGGGTCTTCGGCGTGGTTCTTCCGGGGGCCCTGGCGCCCGCAGGAGTGGGCGCGGGGGCCCCGCATACCCTCGTGACCAGCCGGCGGGGCGCGTGTCCGCAGTCCCGGCGGTACCCGAGGCCAGGGCGGAGGGACGCTGGCAAGCTGTGGGATGTCAGGGGGCCGCGCAGTCGGAACTGACCCCTCATCCACCGTCCTGTTGTCTGTCCACTCTGCCAGCTCGGTTCCCAAAGCAGTGTCCCTTCGGGCCGGAAGTCACCCCAGGCGGGAGCTCCTGAGACTGGGCGAGATAGAGGGGCGGGGGACGTGTATGTTCACACCCGCGTTTCATACTGTGGTTCCAGGTGCGTGGGACGACTGGGGATGTGGCTGGTGTGCTCCTGGAGGGAGCCTGGAGGGAGCCTGGACGGCGGCAGGAGGGGCTGTCCCTGCCTGTGATGATGGCCACCTTGAGACCATGGTCTGTGGGTAAGAGGGAGCATTGTGGAAGACTGGTCTTCTCAGAAACGAAGCACCAGTCAGTCCTGGTGACATCCTTGCTAGTCTCAGCACTGTTACCTGGCATTTCTAAAATGTCTTTTCTTCTACCCTCTGTGTATAGATCCTACCATGCCCTAGTACTTGTCCTTCATTTGTTCCATTTCCATGTTTTTGAGCATTTACTAGGTAGCCTGAGGAGGACAGTTATTATCTTCTAGAAGTTTACAGCTAGTATATCACTTATTTTTTATTTTTTGTAGAGACAAGTTCTCACTCTGCTTTGTTATCCAGGCTGGAGTGCAGTGATGGGTTTGTAGCTCACTGCTGCCTTGAACTCCTGGGCTCAAGTGATCCTCCTGCCTCCATTTCTGGAGCAGCTAGGACTGCAGGTGTGTGCCACCACACCTAATTTTACCTTTTTTGGTAGAGATGGGGTCTTGCTATGTTGCCCAGACTGGTCTGGAACTCTTGGCCTCAAGTTATCCTCTCACCACAGCCTCCCAAAGTGCTGGGATCACAGGTGTGAGCCACTGTGCCTGGCCAGTATATCACTTAGTTCTTAGGAGAAAAACACACTATAGCCAACTTTGTATGGTCATTGCTTAATTCACTGATTATATGGTCACTTTCTGAGTTAAAGGGTGTCTCCCTTTAACTTTAAGGCATTATCTCATTTGCAGGGAATTTTAAACAATGTTACTTGTTAATAAAGACAATAGTAGTTATCCTGTATTTAGCACATCTTAAGTACCAATACTGTGCTATGCTATAGAAACGAGTATTGTTTCTAATCATCATGAAATATTGCAAGTTCCTGTAGCCCCTGCTTTGCAGAGGGGGAAACAGATACAGTGGCTGGCTAGTGACATGGCTAGTGAGTGTCTGAGCCTGACTTTGAATCCAGGTCTGTTTAACCACAAAGGCTGTTATGCTTATTCCTAACTTTGTTAAACCCTTAAACACCACCTGGCATTCACTGTTTTCCAACACCAGTTTAGTTCCCTCACTACCATGAGGGTGCAGGACAGTTCTGCTCTGATATCCAAAAGGAAGAGCGTTCCCACAGCAGCCGTTTGGCTCTGGAAAAATGAGCCCTTAATTTACTTTTTCCTCCAGTAATATTGGGACAGATAAAGATGAACAGTAATTAAATGCCTATGCACTAAATGTTTGTGTCATATTTAATTTTTAATGAAAAAATGATCCCTGAACCACAATCCCAGCAGGAGAACTGGAAGGACCATCTCCAGTTTCATGGCTGACATCTCTTGCTTTTCTCCTCAGTGCTTCTCATGCCAAATGCTCACCTCCTCCCTGACATGCCACCTGCTGTATTCACCAAGTCCCCGTTCCATTTAGGATATCAAGGCTGGCTTTGGGTAAGTAGTCAGCACTGATTGGCTATCCAGTTAGGTTACTGTCCTTGAGTTCTTAGTCTGGAAGCCCATTCATGGTGGCAGAATTTCCTTTCATTCATTAGAGGTGCACCCTATTGAGAAAGACAAAGGAAGAAATAAAGGACTCAGGGATTCATTCATTCTGCAAAAATCTAGTCTCTAGTACATGTGAGGCTGCATGCCAGGTGTCAGGGGCTTGAAGCTGGATAAGACAGGCTTGCCATCCTCAAACAGCTGAGGAATACTATCTGCAGTTTTTCTGTTACCAGTTCACACCCCTCCCCTGGGCCATGTATTCTGTGTTACTATATTCCCTCTACCTTTGCAAGGACCTTGGCTAGGACTGTAGCCATCTTGAGAGCTAGGGTGAGCTGTTTCCTAGCCGTGGACTCACCATTATTATGATCAAGGTCACAGTGGTCACTCCTCCCCCTGGTGCCGAGCACAGAGTCATGGGCATGGACAACACAACTTGCCCACATCAGCTGCTGGGAGTGACAGCGAAGGGCCCACTGCTTCTGTTTCCTCTTTGGTACCCAGACCCAAGGAGTCTACGCGGCACTGTGGAAATGTACGGTGTGTCTGGGGGACGGGATCCCACCCTAACAGAGTGTTACCTCCAAGCAGGCTTGCAAGCAGCACAGTCTTGTGGTCCAGCAGGAGGGCAGCTTCTGGGAGCCGTGTGATATACAACCAAGGTGCCCATGACTGGGTGTCCTCTCCCACACCTTCTGTGCCATAGCTGGGTCTTTTGGCTTGGAAGGACGTAAAGTGGGATCTGGTGCCAGTGGTTCACTGCTATGTCCAGTTCTTGATGGAGTCCTGTGAGCATCTGCCCACTGTGCCTTCACCCCAGCAGCCAGACCAGAGGGACCTGCTTAAGGCTCCTGCCCAGCCAGTCCCTGCAGAGCATTCCTGCTTCACGAAAACCAAATTTACCTTCCCATGCTGTCCCCACATCCAAACTGTTCTCTCTGACTCACTGCATTCCAGCCACTTCCTTTTCTCTATCAAACCCTTTCTGGCTCTAGCCCTTCTGTGTGCAATTCTCTCTGGACTCCCCCACCACTGCACCCCCCCCCCACACACCACAGACAGCACCCTGTGGCTCTGCAGCGTAAACCTCACTCCTCCAGAGGCCCACCCGGCCCCCACCTGAAGCATGGGCCACTTCTCCAGGCCTCCCCGAAGCTCGTGTGGATTTGCAGTTCATTCCTGGTGTCGGGGTCTGCTTTAGGGGAGCCCCAGCTAACACCCAAGCTGTGTTCATTGTATTAGTTTGGGATTGAATTAGGCTGTATAGTTTTCCAGGCAGCTGTAACATTCTACCACAAACTGAGCAGCGTAAGTGACCTGAATTTATTATCTCCTGGTTCTGCAGGTCGGAAGTAGAGCGTGGATCTCCCAGACTGAAGTCAAGGTGTCGGTAGGCTGTGTTCCTTCCTGGAGGCTCCAGGGCTGAGTCTGTGTCCTTGCTCTTTGGGTGGGCAGAGTTCAGCGATCTGTGGCTGCAGGCCCAGGCCCCTGCTTCTTTGCTGGCTGTCGGTGGGGGCTGTTCCCAGCTCTAGAGGCCATCCCCACTCCTCGGCTCTCAGCCCGTGTGCTGTTTCAAAGCCAGCCATGGTGGGTCAGATTCTCTCTAATCGCTTCTCCTCCTTCTTTTCTCTCTGACACAGCCAGGAAAGGTTTTCTGATTTGAAGGACTGCTGATTAAACTGCTGGTCCCACCCAGATAATTCACGATCAACTCTCTGCCTCTAGGTCTGTGCCCTTAATCACATTTCTGTATGTATTAGTCAGGGTTCTTCAGAGGAGCAGAACCAATAGGATGTGTGTATATACAGAAAGAGATTTATTTTAAGTAATTGGCTCATGCAATTATGGAGGCAAATCCAAAATCCGCAGGGTGGGCTGGCAGGCTGGAGACCCCAGGAAGAGCCCATGTTGTAGTTTTAAGTCCAGTGACCACGTGGGAGAGAATTCCTTCTTCCTTGGGGAAGGTCAGTCTTTTTGTTCTATTTACGCCTTCAACTGATTGGTCAAAGCCCACCCACCCACACTATGGAGGGCAAATTGCTTTACTTAAACTCTGCTGATTTGAATGTTAACCTTATTATCCTAAACACCCTCACAGAAACACCCGGTGATGTCTGACCACATATCTGGGTACTGTGGTCTGGCCAAGCTGACATATGAAATTAACTATCTCATTCACAAAATCCTTTTTGGCACATGAGGCAACACTTTCCCAGGTTCTGGAGGTGAGGTATGGACGTCTGGGGGCTGTTATCTGTGAACCACACTGGTCTTTCTTCTTATCTCTGTTTTTATAATCCAGAGGGTCATCTTTTCCTCAGAGATTCATGACATGCAACCAAAGCAGTGGAGTGTGAGACACCAAGTTTTCCAAATTAGCAGGGAACATGTGGCACTGAGCTTTATGGGCAGGTGCTTCTTCAGGCCTCCCCCCAAGACAGCTGTCCCTGGGTGTGGAGATGTCCTGGGGCCCTGAGGCCTTGGCCACACAGCTCCTTGCTCCACAGTGTCACGTGGGAAGGGGTTCCTGTCTCCCTCCCTCCGTCAGCATCAGCCTCTTGAGTGCTGTGTCCTCTCCCAGGAGATGGGAAATGTGTTCTTCAGAGGATGCCCCTCAAATGATCCCCCTGCTGTTGTCTCCCAGAGTGCTAGGGTTACAGGTGTGAGCCACCTTGCCCGGCCTGACATTGTTTTTATTGTCTCATTCAGGCTCATAACCCACATACCCCACAGACTCCTAATGGGTGTTTTTATTGTCACATTTAACTTTGAGCTCACCAAGGGTCAACGAAGCAAACAGCTGTGCTCAGGGCCCCAAACTGGCCCTTCATGCCAGCTCGGACCCTTGGCCCATGTCACCTAGTGGCAGAAGGGCAGAGGTGGGAGGAGGTCATGGAGCTAAGGGTTGGGGCACATGGAGGGAGAGGGAAGGTCCTGCTTCAGGAAATGACTGTGCTTAATTTGTCCAACTGGGGAGGGTCTGTCTGAGCACACTCATGCCCCACACCACATTCACAGACACACTGACAACACACACACTGCACAGATTCACACACAACACACATGAACACCCACTCAGTCACGTAAACCCATGCACCATACACACATACCACCAACTCATAGCATGTCACATACACCCCACATGCACACATCACACAAGAACTATACAACACACCCACACATGTATACGCACCCATCAATGCACACATACAAACTCACAACACATATATTACATAAAACCTACCACACACCACAAGCACCATTGTAGGAAAATTAGAAAACAGAGACAAGCATAAGATAATGTAAATTGAAAATCATTTCAAATCCTTCCAGATCCAGAAATGACCACAGTTAATATTTTGGTATATTTTCCTCAAAACATTTTCTGATATATTTTACAAAAATAAAAATCAAATGCAAGTAAACTTGCTTTGTTTACTCAAAAGGGAAATGGACGACAGATGAATGGATAAACAAAATATGGTTTATCCACACAGCAGAATATTAGCCTTAAAAAGGAAGGAGATTCTGACACATGCTACAACATGGAGAGACCTTGAGGACATCATGCTAAATGAAATAAGCCAGTGACAAAAGGACAAGTCCTTAGAGTGGTCAAATTCATAGAGACAGAAAGTAGAATGGTGGCTGCCAGGGGCTGGGGGTGGGGAACAGGGAGTCAGTGTCAATGGGGCAGAGTTTCAGTTTGGGAAGATGAAAACGTCCTGGAGATGGGTGGTGGTGATGGTAGCACGACGGTGTGAGTGTACTTGATGCCACTTCACTGCACACTTTAAAATGGCTAAAATGCTAAAAGTGATGTTATGTGTTTTTTTTCTCCACTACAATTAAACCAACAACAAAGAAGATGGAGTGTGGTGTCCCGAGGTGGGGCGGGTAGGAAACATCTAGGGGTCAGAGGCATCCCGTTTGGGGACATTCTTCATCACCCTTTCTTTGGAGAGAAGTTCTCTGCTGGTGTCCCTGGCTGGGGGTCACGGGGACATTGCAGCGCCAGGGGACTTAGCCCATCAGTGACAAAGAGGATGGCGCTGCAGTTATTTAGAGGCCTTTCCAGCAGGGGGAGCCAAGTGTCCGGGAATGCGCTTCTCGAGCCCGCCCCTTCCTCCGTCTAAGCCCAGAACAAGCAGAGCCAGATCCAAACCCTCTGCTGGCTCCACACTCAGGTGGCCGGGATGTGTGGGCACCCAGCAGAGAGGCTGAAGGATGGGAGGTGGTGCGCTCCGCTGGTCTGGAAGAAACACCTTGATGTTATTTGATCACAAGTCCTCCTCTTAGAAGAGAGGCTACTTGAGTGTAGGAAAATGTTCTGCTATAATCCTAGCACTCTGGGAGGCTGAGGAGGGAGGATCACTCAAAGTCAGGAGTTCCAAAGCAGCCTGAGCAAGAGCGAGACCCTGTCTCTACTAAAAATAGAAAGAAATTAATAGGACAACTAAAATATATAGAAAAAAATTAGCCGGGCATGGTGGCGCATGCCTGTAGTCCCAGCTACCCGGGAGGCTGAGGCAGGAGGATCGCTTGAGCCCAGGAGTTTGAGGTTGCTGTGAGCTAGGCTGATGCCATGGCACTCTAGCCTGGGCAACAGAATGAGATTCTGTCTTAAAAAAAAAAAGAGAGAAAAGAAAAGAAAAGAAAGGAAAAGAAAATGTTCTTTTACAATTATTTAAGAGTAAGAAGAACTATAGAACTATAGAATAAATATCATGATAATTGTCAGGGTTCGGTCAGGAGAGAGACCACATGGTAATTTGAATCAGGAAGTTTGGTATGAAGAATTATGAAACATAACGGGATTACTCAAAGAACCCTAAGGAACACAGGACCTCGGACACAGGGATTTGTGGCTGGGCAGCACCCATGGAGGAGCCAGCCCGGGGAGGCAGCACTGTCCAGGGTGCACCTCTGGTCAATATCGTTTGTGGTCACAGCTATATGTGGGTGGGGCAGTGCACCATGGACAGGATGAGGCTGGCCTCTCCCATGGTTCCACTCCTCACAATCTGCATTAAATCCACCTGCAAGCTGCAGATCCTGCCCTGCAGAGGCCCCACCTTCAAGGGACATGGGGTATAGTATTCATGAGGCCCTGGAGCCTTGATGGGGGGCATGGCTGGCTCCATGGAGGGAGAATGTGGCACTCGACTCTGCAGGATGGACCGGGCTTCCCACAGCAGAGCCAGGGTGGGGCATCCCAGGCAGAAGGAGAAGCACGAGCTGGGCCCGTGGTGGCGCCTGCAGGTGATGACTACAGGTGGCAGGTGCTGTAGTGCCCATCACCACAGTCTTGCCTGGCCTGGGGTGTTTTTCCAAGGACAGTCCAGGCCTAGGTGTCCACCCACATCCCAGGAGGCTGCAGAGGCACACACTCTGGCCCTGCAGCACTCCCTGGGAGAGCCTGAGGCCAGACTTACTCCCACAGCTTGCAGGCCAGAACAGAGGGATGGGGTCACCTGAGGGACAGCACCCTGAGCCTGTGCCATGCTGGAGGGCTGTGACTCAGCACTGACCAGTACTTGGGGACAAGGACCTGCCCCCCAGGGCCTCATGAATACTGTACCCCATGTCCCTTGATTGGTTCAGAGTGTGTGCGTAGGGGAGGGCTGGCCCCCTGCTGCCCAGGTCAGCTTGTCTTATGACCTCTGCCCTATGGGTGGAAGGCCTGGCAGTTGGCAGCATCTGTCTCACTGGAGGCTCTGTGGTTATCCCTGCACCTGCCTCTACCCCCTCAGGCAGAAGGCAGGGTGACTGATCAATTTTAATTAGTTTTGACTCCCTCAAATTAATTCTGGCTCTAATCAGAATTTCTACAGTGAAAAAGCACATCAAGTTCTGCTTTCTAATAAGGACCTTATTAAATAAAGTGGGTCTTTCTTAGCCAGGAAAAGGTCAGGTCAGTTTCTGGGAAGATGGCAGTAATCTCAGCTCAGAGAGATGGGAGGCTTGTCCAGGTGGGGAGTCCACATTCCTCAGCCTGTGCCCCAGCCTTGGGCCAGCACAGGCTGCTGGGGGTGACTGTGAGTCCCAGAGGGCAGAGGGGTCCCCCTGGCTGGGTCTCAGGAGTGATCCTGACAGTGACAATTCTGAAGACATGACCAAGTACTTACTGAGGCCAAGGCCTGTGCCATGGGCCAAGGGTAACAGAGGGGACCCATTTGGCTAAGTAACCTGTGGCTGGAGAAACTGAGCCCCTCCCTCCCTTCCTCCCCATGGGGCCCCTGATGTGTTGCAAGGCCAGGTCTTTGGGGGCACCAGACACTCTCGTGCCTCTTAATTTGCTTCTGGTTTGGTCTCGTGTGTGCGCGCGCGCAGGCGGGCAACTGCCACAGCCCTCAGTCTCTCTCCTGCACACAGTGTCCTGAGCGCACACTCACACACACACACTGTTTCAGGCTCACAAAGTCACACATGCCACACACTCCCAACACCCCCTTTGCACCACACACACCACACAGACACACACACACCACACACACACACTACGCACACACACACACAGACACACACACACCACACACACACAGACACACACACCACACACACACACACACAGACACACACACACACACACACACACACACACACACACACAGACACACGGCAACCTCCTTCATTCACTTTCCTGTCCCTTGGGACCTGACTCCCAAATGCTGCTTCAAGTTTACCTGACTTCCAGGCACCCGCCCCCCATGGGCTACTCCCTGCCAGGCTGCGCCCAGGTCCACCTGCCTCCAGTCTGCCCCGCCTGTCCCCCAGCCCACCGTCAGCCCTGTCCCACCCTCACCCCGGCTCCCTCCCCAGTCTGCCCCCAGCCTGGACTGCAGTTCCCCAATGCCCCTAGCCTGCACCCCACCTGCCCTCACAGTCCGCGGGCCCCAGCCACCGTCAGCCCTTACCCCGCCTCACCCCAGCTTGCCCTCCAGCTCGTACCGGGCCCTCACCCCACTCTCACCCAGGCTGGGACCCCAGCCCAGACCCTAGCCGGCCTCCCACCTTGCCTTGCCTGCCCACCCACCCGGCGGAAGGATAGTGCGCGTTTCACCGCGGCATCCCAGGAGCGGCACCCCAGGATCAGGAGGGAGCGGGGCGGGCCGGGGGCGGGCCGGGGGCGGGCCGGGGGCGTGGTCTGGGCGGGCTTCTCTAGGCCCCGCCCCAGACCCGCCCCGGCCCCCCACTGCGCCCCCAGATGACAGAGCCTGACAGAGAGCCCAGCCATGGCGACGCTAGCGCTGCTGCGCCTGCACCCTCTCCCGCTGCTGCTGCTGCTGCTCTGCGGTAAGGGGCGTCGGGCCCACCCCAGGGCGCCTCCGCGCCAGGGGCCGCGGGACTCGCGCCGGCGAGTCTCCTTCCCGCCACACCTGGGCTGCGCCCCAGCTTCAGCCCGGAGCTCGGGAGGGGAGTGTGGTGACCCCGCCATTGTCCCCAGGCTCCACGGGAGCGTCCTCGACCGCGAACTCGGGCTGGCAAGGGAGGCGCAGCGGCTGCCGAGGCCGGCGGCTGGCGGGCGTGGGGCAGCCCCGCTCCTGCCAGCTGCGACGTCCCCTGGGTCTGGGTAGCCCCCCGTATGGTCTGAGCCAGCACAGGTGGGCCAGATCCGGGTCTCCCCTCAGCAAGGGCTGCTTGTGCGGTGCTGAGCTCCCGGTCCTGGCCTCGAGTGGAGTGTGTGCCTGCCGCGCTCAGGGGCGTGCATGGGAGGACTGCGGACTGGCTAGCGGGGGTCCTCCCGGAGGAGCCTGGAGTGTGTGGCGTTTGTGTGTTGGGAAGTGGCAGGGAGGGGAAGGGGGCAGCTCTCTGAGCCCTCTCTCCTAATCCCTTCTGCAGCACCAGGGCCCTGGGGATAAACATCGCTCACAAAATGGGAAGGGGTTTCATTGAAAGCTTGTCTTGAGAAAATCTTCCTAGAGAAATTATCCAAAAATAAGGAGAGTGCATGTCGGTGTGTGCGTGCACGGGCATCTGTGCGTGTGTGTGTGCGTGTGCGTGTGTGCGTGTGCGAGAGCTCCGGTGGGAGAGTGCTTGCTGAGGGCTGGGGGCTGCCAGGCTGCCCCTGAGCCTGGCCAGCTCTGGGAGGGACGCCAGTGATGGAGGGCCCTGACCTGTGCATCGGGGACAGGGTCTGTCCTCCAGGGTTGCTGTCCCTGGGTCCTTTAGGATGTCTCCCTTCCCTTCATGGGCCCCAGTCTCCTGGCTGTATGGTGAAGAGCTGGGCCTGTTTGCAGTCACATCCTCAGCTACGATGGTTTGGGATTTGATAAGGGAGGTAGGAAAATGGTGGGCGAAAACCGGCAGCCATTTTGTTTCCATTGAAGAGGTTTGGTATGCAGAAAGCGTGGCTTCATTTCATGTGCCAGAGCTGCAGTCTAGGAAGGGGTGGGTTTTCTCGTTGAGTGCAAGGGTGGGTGGCAGCTTCCAGACGTCAGGAGCATACGTATATGGGATTTTAGCAAGCTGCAATGCAGGGCCCCTCGGATGGGGAGTTTGGTCTCTACAGTAGAAGGAAAGTCCTCTGACTCCATTCCGAGGGAAGCTGAGGCTCTCCTGACTGCCTCCAGCATGGAACTGGGGACCACGAGCTTCTCCACATGCACAGAAATCCACCATGTTAATCATCCTGGGTCTCTTGTGGATACTGTTTTCTTATCCTGAGGGTCCCCATTGTCCCCCTCTAATGGAACATGGGCTCAGGCTCCCAAGCCAGGGTTGAGGGCAGGCCCAGTCTCATGGCAGATCCAGTGAGAGGCAAACCCTGCTCATGGTCACATGCCAATTGGTCAGAGGTGGAACAGGAGCCCACATCTGCCCTGGCGCTGCTTGTCTAGAAGGAAGGAGCAGGGGCAGTGAGGGGGGAGTTCTTATTGACCCCCCATCGATGACTGGCCCTGAGGGGGCCAGCAGGGAAGGTGCTAGCTTCTGGGGCTTCTTTGAAAATTCCAAGCGTTTTTTCAGGACACATTTGACACTGTGCAGGACCCTGGGGATGGTAAGTCCAGCAGGCATCCACTCAGCAGCAAGCTCTGCCCTGGTGCCTGGCCCTTGACTGGGCACTCCTAGCCTGGCTAAGAGTCCCAGATCATGATCCCAAGATTGTAAGGCACTTACTGGCCCTTAGGCTCAGCTCCCTCAACTGCAATGTGGGTACAATAATAGCAACCCGTGAAGGGCTCCATGACTATCAGTTTGATTCCATGCAGTGCAGTCCCAATCACCTTGTGCTGGGCACAGGATTGTGGGTGGAAGAGCTCAAAGCACTAAAGGTGCCTTGGAGATCATCTATCCCTGGTCTTCATTTCACAGATAAGGAAACTGAAGTCTGGGGTGGGGAGGGAATTGCTTAACCACAAGGACTGGGGCAGAACCACCTGGAACCCACAGCCTCCCCAGGCCAACTGATCATGGCCCACTGTAGCCCCTGGCTGGTTGGTTGCTGCTTATTTTTGCCAGAGAGGATGACAGCACCTGTATGTCACTTCCCAGTGACTGGCTACAAAAGGCCTTTCTCTCAGAAATGCATCTGTTTGGCTGTTTATCATCACTCAGTGTCTGGAAGTCTGAAACAAAAGAAACACAGGCCTACATGTCCTTTGTTTCCAGGTGAAACTAACCAAAATGGGTTTCTGTTTAAATTCAATTCCTGAGACCTTCACTAATGTACCAGTAGCTTGATTGGCGACGACGTATCCCATTGTTATAACACTGCCTGGGTTTTTAGGTTTTGTTGGGAGCCTCTAAAGCCCCATGTGCATCAGAAATGGTGCCAAAGTGGGGTCCCCATGGAGGGCGCTCTGGTTCTGGTCCAACAGGTGTCCCATACCTGTCTTGTATTCTGGGATAAATTCCCTGCTTGCATCCTCACAGTACCTCCACGGGCTGGAATTTATCCTGGAACACCTACCTGAGGGTGGCATGTGGTCTTCAATGGCACATTTGTAACCTGCCTGTGCCAGGCCCTTGCTCTCCTGCAGCACGTGGAGATTCTGGGGCATGTGGAGATTTGGGGGCACATGGAGGTTCTGGGGCATGTGGGGATCTGGGGCATGCAGAGGTTCAGGGCAGAGCCATGCTAGGGGCATGTTGTCAGGGACCCCTCCTTCTCCTTAGACAGTTGGGTCAACTGAGTCAAGGTTTGTAGAGTGTTGGGGGAGGGGCTGGGCAATGCCTATTCTGACCATTCCTGCCCTGGCACTGGGGGTGGGGGGACATTGATGCCATCTTTGCCAGTCTCATGATTGGCCTTTCAGGGATCAGAGAGAATGATAGTCACCTTAGGGTAGTGGATGTCTACGGAGACCTGTCCCAGAGCTCTGTTTTGAAGCATCATGGTTAATGCAGATACATCAGGCACAGGCCCTGGGTGAGGCAGGTGAGCTGAGGGAGTAGGGGGAGGGGATGAGGGGTAGGGAAGAGGAAAAGGGGGAGGTAGAGCAGGAGAGAGTATTGGGCTGTGACTTGGTGGTCTGGGCAGGCTGGGGGCACCCAGGTCCAGTGGTTCATGTCTAGGGGGTTCATTCAGGTCCAGGGGGAGAGTTTAGGTCCAGGGGGTCCAAGACCAGGTCAATGTCCAGGGGGTCCAGGTCTAGGTCAATGTCCAGGGGGCCAGGTCCAGGGAGTCCAGGTCCAGGTCAATGTCCAGGGGTCCAGGTCCAGGGAGTCCAGGTCCAGGTCAATGTCCAGGGGGTCCAGGTCTGGGGTGTCCAGGTCCAGGACAGTGTCCAAGGGGCCCAGGAACAGGGGTCCAGGTTCAGGGGGCCAGGTCTAAGACAATGTCCAGGGGTCCAGGCCCAGGTCAATGTCCAGGGGGTCCAGGTCTGGGGGGTCCAGGTCCAGGACAATGTCCAGGGGCTTCAGGTCCAGGGGTCCATGTTCAGGAGGTCTAGGTCAGTAGGAGGGAGGACTATCCTGCGGGGAAGTGCTGGCAGGAAGGTGTGAGGTGGGAGGGGAGGGGATGTTTTGGTGGGTGATGGGGAAGTCCTGGGGCAAGGAGCTTGCCTGAGACCCTGAGAATGTCCAAAGGGCTCATCCCTGCCACTGGAAACACGAGTGCCTGCAGTGGCCTCAGCCCCAGGCCTCCTAAATCTGACGGGGGCTTCGACAGGGCAGGGTGGTCCTTACTAGCCTGGAGCCCTTCTCGGCTGCTCCTGCAGGCTTTGGAATGGTCATCAGATCTTAGAGTCCTTCTTAGGATGTGTTCCAGGTGCCCTCACTCCCGAGTTGGAGCTGGAGCCTCTTTGCCATGCCGGATCTGTCTGGGACTTCTCTCCCCACCTCCTGGGAACTTTGGCCCAGGGTGTCACCACCTGCGAGGTGGTGAAGTGAAGAGGTGGACTTGTCCTGTCTCAGGGGACACCTCCCTTGTGGCAGTCTCCTTTCTTTAGTGACAGGGAGGTCAGGGCTGAGGATGTGAACTTCACTGGAAAGGTCTAGAACTCGCAAACTGAACCTTGCTCGTGACTCCCCCAGTGTTGGCTCCTCGCCCTCCCGTCCCTTGGGCACCCCCAGTGTGAACCACTGTGGAATTCATGGGCTCTCCCCTCTCCAGGTGAGTGTTTCCAAACAGGAGGCTGCAGTGAGGCCAGCGTGCAGGAGAAGATGCCCAGGTGCGGGAGGGCCTTCATCGACATGGTGCGCAAGGTGGAAGTCTGGAAGCGGTGCAAACTGTCCGACTTCGTCGTGTGAGTGTTGCTGCTGTCTGCTGGGGCCTGACCACGCCTCTGCCCAAGGCGCTGCCCATGGTCCGCCCAAGCGCTACCCACTGCCCTCCCATAGCCCGCCCCACCCCACCTTCACTCTGCCCTCGACACGCCCCCACGGCCCTCCCACCCAGGCCTATGGCCCCTCCCATGCGCGGCCCAGACCGCGCCCATGCTTCGCCCATGGCCCCGCCCCCACGTCACTCACGGCCCCGCCCCTGTCCCCAACCACAGCCTTGGGCTCCCCACACCCACAGCCCCTCCCAGCCCCTCAGCCCCCGTTCCGCACACTGAAACGGGTCTGGCCACTGCGCCTCTGCTGCTGCCTCTGTTTTCTGTCTGGGAGTCCTCCCGTGCCCGCTCTCCTCTCCATCCAGGGTGGCGCCCTGTCTGGGGAGCGCCCTCCGGGACTGGGGTGCCCTGGCCTGGGGGAGGGGGTGGTCGGGCTGGGTGGAAATTGTTGTGTGTGTCCTTCTCACAGCACCAGCCAGGGCTGGGTCTGTCCTCAGTGGTTTTGGGGTCCCTGGAGAAACGGGGTCCCGCTGGTGTCTACCAGGTGCGGCTCTGGACAACGCCTCGCGGCCGAAGGAGAGCCTCTCACGCTAGAAGCTTACTGAGCTTTTCCTGTGGTCACTTTGCATCAAGCACGGAGACAGGCTGTCCTCTTATCTCCTTGGAAATCGCCCGCGGGCAGCACAGCCCTCCCAGTACCCCATGCCACACGCGTCAGGCTACCAGATCTGTCCTGGGCCTCGCGCTTTTGCGGCTGGCCCAGGTCCACTACCCCAGCGAGGGCCTGGCACACAGTCAGTGTCGGGAGCTGCTTGCTGCACCAAACAGAATGGGATTTGTTAGTCTGGGGGGCACGGGGTGCTGGGGAGTCAGGAAGGGGTTGGGCCAGGCTCCTCCTTGTCTTCGGTGAGCTACCAGGTGGCTTCTGAGAAGGCGGCGGGGACCCAGGCCTGGAGTGGACTCCCAAAGAGGGGGTGAGGTTAGGGGGATGAGGTCATAGCTAAAGGCCCAGAGCTGCCTCGAGGCAGCCTGAAGGCTGCTGACCCCTCATCTCATTTCTCTCTCTGCGAACACACATAGAAGTTTTCATTTGTTTCCACAGCTCTGAACCTGCTAAAGCTGGGTGAACAGATTAAACAGAGATTTCCAAGCCTGGGCTGGGAGGACAGGAGTGGAGGCAACCGGGAGGGGCGTTTGGGAGTCAGAAAGTGGGTCCAGAGGCCCCGAGCACCACTGGTGAAGCCAGACCCGAAGGTTGAAAAGGGCAGCTGGGGCAGCTGGATTTGTCCCACAGCGGGCTCCCGACACCCAGGCAGCCGCACCAGGTACCCGCAGAGCTGTCTGAGAAGCAGTGGAGTGTCTGGAGCCCTCCTCCACCCTAGCTGGACAGTGGGGGCGTATTCTTGGAGCAGGCGAGACCAGGGCCTCTGGGCCTCCCCGTGCAACTGAGGGCGTGGCACTGTGCCCCAGATAGGGAGGCCAGAGGAAGCAGTTGACACCCACCCTCTTTTTCCACTGACCAGCAAGTCCTTCCTGAGGAGTGAGACCATTTCCCAGAGGAAAGATCTAGAGTCAGTGATCAGCCCAGAAGCTCTGGGACCAAGCCCCTGTCCGAGTCTGAGAGTTCAGCCAGCTCTCATCCCCACTCCCGGTCAAGAACGCCCCAGAAGGGTCCCGACATCTGTAAAAGGCCACGACCCTGAAAGCAGAGACTGGAGACATGGAACCAAGAACCTGGAGGGTGTGCGGCAAGAAGAAAACTCCGACGTCACTATTCCCGTCTTTAGAGGAGCGAACTGCTGTCTGTCATGTGATGAGAAGGAAAGCGCTCCAGGGACAAAGAAAGAGCCCTGAAATTGAGAATGTGACAGAAAGGAAAAATGGAATGGAAAGTTTGAAAGGTAGACATTGACAAAATCTCCCAGGAACAGGAAAGAGAAGATGATTAGGAGGTCGGAGGTCGGTCCAGGTCTAACACCCAGGTAGTAGGAGTTGTAGAAAGAGAGAACAGGGGGTGGGGAATTCAGGGCCCTTCCCGGGGCCGAGGGCAGGAGTTCGCAGCCTGCCAGGGCTCGCCCCATCCTGGCACGAGGGATGAAAATGTCCCATATGGACGGTGGAATATCAGCGCTGTGGAAACTAATGAAAACTTCTACATGTGAGAGATGAGGTGAGGGGTCAGCAGCCTTCAGGCTGCCACGAGGCAGCTCTGGAAACCGGAGGACAGCTGGACGTGAGGACCTGAGCATTCTGAAGGACCGTGGTTTCTCAGCTAGAACGCTGTTGCCGCCAATCTGTCCACCAAATGGGGAGAAATGAAAACACTGTCAGATGGCGGCACATCAAACATCTCATTCCCACGTGCTAAGAAGCTCCCCAAGGCGTGTGAGGACATGACAAAGGGAGATGTGAGGTTTGGGGAGCAGGTCCAAGGCAGGAGAGGGAAGGCCTGGGCAGGGGCAGGGGGTGTCCCAGGGTAGCAGTGTGCGTGGGATGGAGGCAGCCTGGCCCCCTGGACGGCACCTTATGCTTGACTCACGAGGTCGCTGCTCTCTGTCCATACCCGGCAGCCCAGCTCGGCTGAGAACGGAGGACACCCTCTCCCCTGCGTGTTCTGCTTTGGCTCCCACTGGAGTGGGTGGGCCTTGGTGAGCTCAGAGGAGAGGTGGCTTCCTCCCTCTGAATGTGACAGCCCCGCTGGGAACCCTGGCTGGGAAGCCCCTATTCTCCAGACTCGCCTGCCTGTGGCCTTTTAGTGGGGAGTCCTGTTGCCCCTTGGGGAAGCCAAAGCATGTCCTTTCCTAGAAGCCTCCCTCCAGCAGCCCCAGCTGGCTCCTCCTGTATCCAGTTGGGGGGTGGTTGCTATGGGGTTTCCTGGGAATGCATGAGCACAGGTGGTTGGTGGGGTGAGGGAGTCTGACTGGGGGTTTGCCCAGCTTCCAGCCCATGCACTCTTCCTTGGGTTGTGGGTACGTCTTTAGGGAGGGTGCTCTGGGGAGCCAGATTAAAAGTGGAGAAGTGGGGAGACCCTGGATGACCCAGGGGTGTCTCAACCATACTCGGTTCCCAGTTTTCTGGAGAAGCATGGGGTGGGCATTTGTGCACGTGGCTCCCATGAATCAGTCCACAGAGATGGGTGCTGTGCTCGGTGCTGTCCCGAGGCCTAGCTGCCAGGGTGGGCTTGCTCCAGCACCCACCCTGTGCTGGACGCTTGTTGGGGCATATGGATGCCAACTCATTTGGCCTTCTCAACCACCTGACTGAGTAAATGCTATTAATCTCATTTATAGGTGAGGAAACTGAGGCTCAAGGAAGGAATAGTAACATGCCCCAAACCACAAAGATAGTGGCTGAGCTGCGGCTAGAGGAACCCTGTCATGTTGGCTGTGCAACCTGAGCCCAAAGCCACTGCCCATGCTGTCTTCTGGGTTTACCCCTGCCCCTTAGCCCCTCCATGCCACCCAGTCCTGGCTGGGATTGGGGTTTGGTAACAGCAGGGGCCTTCAGCCCTGCTCCTCTTCTCTTGGGGCAGCTGTGGGGCTGCACATCACTCTCCTTGCCCCATGGGCTTGCTGTCCACAGCGGGTCTTCCCCGGAGTCTAGCTGGCTCCTCTCAGCCCTGGGGGTAGTTGCTGTGGGTGGCATTCCTGGCAGTTCAGTGGAAAGGCTTCGGAGGAACGGGGGTTGTAGCACGTAGTTCTCATCACATACTGAGATGCTGGGGACTTCTGAAGACAAAGGCTTTTGCAGGGTGTGGTTAGATGGCTCCCCAGCTCCCAGGTCAGCTGGCTGGAGGTTGGGGTGGGCAGCAGGCTGCTGGGTCTGGGGCCCTGTGGGAGAAGCAGGTCTAGGGAGATCAGGGTTTGCCTATGGATCTGGCTGTTGAGGTGTCCCCAGTGCTGGGTGTGTCCCAGGGGCTGCATCATGGCAGGGGCCTGGGAGAGCCCACAGCTCTGGACCCAGATTTGAGGCCATTCTTTTTGCTCCTCTGGCTTTTCCTTGCTAAGGTTACCTGGAAGGGCACAGGTGTGTGTCTGACGTGCATTCCAGAGTGGGTGCTGAAGTCAGCCTGGGCTGGGTGACTGTGCCTGGGCTGCCCAGACCCTGCCCAGGAGGGGTCACCAGGAGGGCCCTGAGTGGATCTTCATGGCTGAGTGGATCTTCATGACGCTTTGGGAAATCCAGACCTAGGTGGTGTTCATGCAGGAAGTGCCTTGCAGGAGGTGGCTCCTTCCTGTTCATGGGCCAGATCAGTGGCTCCCTCTTGAGACAGCACAGGAAGAAGAAAGTGGGCCACTTGCCTGTTCCCATGAGGAAGCTGAGGCAGGACCCCTCACCCTCCTGAATCTGTCCTTACGCAGCACAGGGCGTGGGAAAGCACTGGAAAGGCGTCCATCAGCTTCCTCCAGAACATCTTGGATGGGTGGCTGCCAGCTTAGGCCTTGCAAACCCCAACAACAGGCAGGGCACCACCTCTGGAGGCTGCCTATCGCATGCTGGGCCAGATGGTTGTTGCGACGTCCTTCTTAATGTTGGCCTGGACTCTGGGTCCCGGTAGCTGTAGCCCTTGGCCGGTTGCGTGGACTGTCCGGGGCCTGCCTGCTGGGTGGACTTGGAGCATCGTGGATGGTTTGCTGAGTGCCCTTGATCTCATGGACACCATGCGTCCTTCCGGATGGGGCTGAGGGAGGCAGCTTCTGAGCAGGAGCTGGAGAAGTGGGGGCTGGGCTCGCAGGTAATGACCCCACCTTGGCCACCACCTGGCACATGAGGGCAGGTTGACTTGACTGGAAGGTGGCTGGACTCTGGCCTTAGAGAGACCCTCTTCTTGGGCCCTTAGGGTGTCCCTAGGTGATGAAGGCCTTGCGGGTCCAAGTAGCCATGAGCCACGCATTCACCCCTTAACCCTGGAGAAGCGTGGCTTGGTGTGTGCTCTGCGAAGACCTGGGAAGTGCTGGGCATCTGGGGGACTGGCTGGATCTTGAGAGCTCCTGGCTTTAAAGGGAGCAAGTCACAGTCATTGATGATGCAAATGTGGGCAGGACACACAGGGAGTGGGTCACGGGCATAGATGACCCCATGACTGGGAAGTGGCTTTTCCAAGACTGTGCTGAGAGTGGGTGGCCAAGCGAGACTGGACCCAAACCACCTCCACTCATCCTCCTGGCTCCAGGCCAGGGTGGCCGTGAGCAGGGCATGGGGAGAGCCTACTTGTCACCCTCTCCGCCTTTGCAGGTACTACGAGAGTTTTGTCAACTGCACCCAGTCAGATGCCACCGTTGTAGGCTGCTTCTGGCCCCACCGCCTGTCCCAGAGCTTCGTCCCTGGCATCCCCAGGCATCTCTTCTCCAACTGCTTCTCGGACAAGGCCCAGTGGCAGGATCCCCCTAAAGAGATTCTCATCCCGCTGATTGCTGTGCCCATTCTGCTGACTGTCGCCATGACAGGCCTGGTGGTGTGGGGCAGCAAAGGACCTGCCAAACCGCTGTGAGGGCCCCGGTGAGATGCAGAGGGCCACTCCTGGCAAGCTGGAAGAAGGTTCCCTGGGGCTGGGAGAGCTGGTGGGCACTGCTACCATCCAGCCATCGTGGCCACACCCCCCCCAGTCATGGGCAGACCCTCCCTGGTTGTTGGCCCACCCCTGGCTGGGACTCACGCTGTCTACCCAACATCTTCGCTTGTTCTTTGGCCAGGAGAAGAATATGTGCCAAAGCCAGAGCTTGTGTGGTGGGCACAGAAGTCACCTGCTGCTGCACTCTGTGCTCCCTTGGGCTGGGCTGGGGCCTCTGCCCTGGGGTTTCTGGCACCGCAGCAGAAAGGGCCGGTGAGGGCATTTGGAAGACGTTCTGTGCTGTGGAAGCCCTGAGCCCTCCTGGTGGGAAGGCCAGGCCCATCCCACGGCTGGGAAGGCTCAGAGATGAAGGGCCAGGCCGGGGCTCTCAGGAGCCATCCGTGGCCTGTCTGTTCCATCAGGATTCTGTGACCACTGTGGGTTGTGTCCACGACCAGGGGCTGGGGTGGGGGGTGGGTCAGAGCCCCTCATCGGGGCCTGCCATGCGGGTGGGGTCTGGGCCTTCTTCCTAATGGGGCTCCCCTGTGAATGAATGCATCTCCTGAGCTCATGTCCTCTGTCTGCTCCCATCTGTGCTTTCCCTGAGTAAAGAGTCACCCTACTACTGGAATGGCCTGTTTTATTTCATGGCATTCAGAGAGATGGTGGGTCTTTGGGAACTGTAGCTATTTTACAAATAGGGAGTGACTGAGGTCCCAGAATCCCAGATTGTCAGTGCTCAGAGAGCTATAAAGGGGGAGTAGATTGAGCTTTGAGTCAGTGACAAGTTAACAAAAGAAAAGAATGTAACAGGGGAGCGGGCAGACAGGAGGAAGGACTTGCCTCTCCTGCTCATAGCCTCCCCGGGAACTTCCCACTCCCGACCCTGTGCTTTTGAGGAGGAAGGAGAGGATTTCTCTCTCCAAGGCTGTGTTGGGCATGCCAGGCCCCACCCAGTGGGTTTTCTGGGGAAGAGGGGAGGCCCTGGCTGGGTCTGGCCGGGGCACATCCTGGAGGCCGTGGAGCAGCGGGGCGAAGGGGCTTCATCTCCAGGTCTCTGGCCAGGCCCTTGGCCCTGTCCCAGCCCCACAGACCTGCATCTTTGCATGTGGGCAGTTGGCTCCAGAGTCCCCTTGTTGTGAGTGGAGGCTGGAAAGGCTCTGGCAGTTCCTGAGCCTTTAGGGACCCCACTCCCCTGCAGTGCCCAGGTGGGCAGGTGCTGGCTTTGCGGACACAGGGACCGCCCTATGGGGCATGAGGTCCTCCTTCTGGGGTGAACTCCTTGACCTCTGCCCAGCACAACTTCTGGCCTTGGGTGGCCCAGTGTCCCCATGAACTCTGTAAGGTCCTAGGGGGCAGGAGCTCCATGGAAGTGAGAGTCCTGTGAGGATGGGGTCCCTGGGGGTGGAATTCCTATGAGAGTGAGTGTCCCTGGGGGCAGGGGGCAGGAGTTCCCTGGTGATGGGGGTTTTGGGGGCAGTGGGGGTCCAATGAGGGGCATTCCCAGGGTATGGGGGTCCCAGGGGCAGGGCTCCTCAGGCACCATTTCCAGCCAAGGTCAAGTGTCAGGCTATAATCCAGACAGATGCTGATCATGCTGAGCATGATTTGGAGGCATCTTGGATTTTCCTGCAATGCAGATCCCACACCTGGCAGGAGTCGTGAGCTCCCCTCGTCAGGGACAGGGGCGGTGGTGTGGCCACAGTGCTGTGAGTGCAGGTCCCGGAGCTGCTGGAAACCTGGGCAGCCTGTGCCCAACACCTGCAGAGTCTCACAAGGCAGGAAGGGAAAGAAACGTTTACTGAGCATTGATCATGTGCAAGAGACACAACTATCCAGGGAGTAGGAACAATACCTGCCTGTGTTTCCTATTTGAATCTTTTTCCCACATTTTCACGTATTCACATATTTTCTCCAGGGTACCAAGGGTCCAGGGTGCCAGGCCCACACAGGGAATGTGCATATGTGTGTGTGTCAGAGGCAGGGACAGAGCGTGTATTCTAGGAGCTTCCTTATCTTAAATTCCATCAGTTCTTCCCAGTTTACACAATCATTATTATTTTGGGGATGTGGAAATTGAAGCTCAGAAATGTGAGGGGTCTGTGCTGATGAGTGCTCTATTCTATTTTCCCTGCCTGCTGCCCCTCTGACTGCAGCCCTGAGAGGTGACAGCAACAGCCTTGAGAGCCCCTCTGGACCCCTGACCTGCAGGAAGCAGAGTGGGCTCCTTCTCGCCGGAGCTGGGCCTGCCTTCTCCACTGCAAGTTTCTGACATGCAGGAGGCTGCCAGGGTCCCCTGCGAGGTGACTGGCCTGAGCTGTCAGTGTAGCACAGCCTCTGTGCCCCAGGCCGGGTGGTAGCTGTGTTGGAGCACAGCCACAGACATGTCCATGGCACGGTGACATGGGTTGTGGAGGGCACTCATGCATGATTCTGCTCTGTGGGCAAAACCAACTGTGGGCCTCAGGTCCCCCTCCCTGGGCACACCCAGAAGACCGTGCCCACTCCAGCCCTTGGGGGAGGGAATGGAGTCTTAGCTCTCAAAGGCCCCAGGTGGCATGGGTGGAGGTGGGTCTGGAATAATGGCAGGGCCAGATTTGGGAAGGTAGGGGGGTTGGTTTGGGGATGAAAGTCTCTGTAAATGCACATTATTTAAGTCACCCTTGACTTCTCCCATGACACCTCTGCATAGCTTGCCCCTTCAGGCCTCATTTCAGTTGCAGAACCGTTCAGTGCCCAGGTACCCCGGGAAGCTCTGGGGGGCAGTGGGAGGGGAGCCACTGTTTCTGCAGGAGCAGCGCCTCTGGAGGGAAGGGGAGAGGTTTTGGTATGTCCACACCAAACCCCAACACAGAACTGATCAGTTGCTGCTTCTGCACAGTGGCCTCAGAAGAGGCTCCTCTGTGGGTGTCGTGGGAATGTGAGCCTGCCTGTAGCCACCTCGGCCCGACCACTCCGCGAACCAGACCTGGGCAAACGTGGGGTTGGCACCGAAGGCGGCTATCAGAGGTAGCAATGCTTATCCTCGGCAGAGGCTGTCCCAGAGCGGGCCATGGGCCCTGCTGCTGCGGTCACTTAGTGGCAGCTGCTGACCTCGTCCATTGGAGGCTGGGCTTATGGGAGCAGCTCGAGACCTTCATTCCTTGAAATTGCCCACGTGCCATCTGTGAGCCAATTTTCATCATTGAGGAGGTGACTCGTCAGGATTGGCAGAAGTCACATTGCCAAGAGGGGAGGCCTCTAGAACACAGGCTTGGATCTCTGCCAAGCCCTGGCAATTACTGATGGCACCTGGGACAGCCCAGGAGACAATGAGCAGCGTGTGGGCCGAGTGGCTGCACTGTGAACTCGAGGACTCTGGCCACCATCTGAAGAGCAGCTGTGCGGAATTGCTGAGGAAATTGCCTGCTCGGCCTGGCCTGGTTCTGGGGGCCTGGGCACAGCGTGCTCCAAAACAGGGCTTGAGTGATGAGCTAGTGACACTCACACAGGTTGTTTATCACATCCCTGCTCATCATGGGAGGCATTTATTGATTAAATACATTTTGAATTTTACAACTGATGGGATTTTATGCAGTTTTATGACCCCAGTGGGTTAGAAGGACTTTAAGAGACCCTGGGAAAAAAGTAGAATATAAAATAATATAGAGGATCCACTCCTGAAATGATGTGAGAAACTTTGTGAATCAAATAACTATAATGGTGCAGATCACAAAAAAGTAAAACACAAAACCATTAAAAGTCTCTGGAAATTGTCTTAAGGCCACACTGCAAATACAGAAACTTTTATTAAAGAAAATGTGTCAAATCCGGGTAAGAACAGACAGTGTCTGTAGCACTTGAGCTGTGGCTGCTCTGTGGCTCCCTGTCCCAGCTCAGAGTCCCAGCAGACAGAGCTCCCTCTCCCCAGCTCCAATCAGGACATCTTGACACGGTGTCCCCATGCCTGGCCCCAGCTCTGTGGTGCAGGTTTGACCTCCAGGCAGGAGCGAGATGGGGGCTTCAGACAGATCCTTGACAGCCAGGCGCTGGGCGGCTCCCAGCCATCTCAACATCCACCTGGGACAGCAGGCTGTCACTACACAGGATGAGCCCACCCTGTGGGGCAGTCAGAGAAGTTTCCAAAAAAAGTGAGAGCTGATGGATAAGAAGAGTGGACCAGATGGCCGGGGGACTGGATCTGCCTGAAGGGTGCCGAGGAGCGAAGTGGGCTGGCCAGAGGCCGCTGGGTCAGGTCATTTCACAAAAAGTAATGGGAGGTCATGGAAAGGTTGTGTTTAGGGGCATGTGTCACATGACAGGAGCCGCATTTGGGCAGAGGTGAGGGATCTTGAGGGGTCTTGGCCAGGAGGACCAGCCCCGCCTTGCTCCAGGGGTGGGGACTGTGGAAGGGAGCTGGGGGCATCTCTCCAACATGAGCTTCCTCTTGGGGGACGTAGGAGCCCTTGACAGAGAAAGACAACCCATAGGGGACATAGGGTGCAGGCCTAACAGCAGCTCTGGGTGTCCCGTCCCTTCCCCTCCACGGGCATCTGTTTCTTTATGTCTGCAATGAGGTGCTCTGCTGCCTCGTGGCTGGCTGTGCCAACCTCTGCCTCTCCCAGGTGGCTTTTGCTCTATCACCTGTTGATGCAGCATGACCTCTCTCACTGCACAGGAGGACGTTCCATCCTGGCCCCTGCCTGCCAGGGTGTGAGCTCTGTGCCCACCTCTGTTCATGCAGAAGCTGGAAGGCATTTCAAGGCACCGTCTCTTTTTTCTTGAGGCAGAGTCTTGCTCTGTCACCCTGGGTAAAGTGGAGTGACATCATCCAGCTCACTGCAACCTCACACTCCTGGGCTTAAGCAATCCTCCTGTCTCGGCCTCCTGAGTAGCTGGGACTATAGGCACACACCACCATGCCCGGCCAATTTTTCTGTTTTTAGTGGAGATGGGGTCTCACTCTTGCTCAGGCTGGTCTTGAACTCCTGAACTCTAGCAATCCTCCCGCCTGGTCTCCTGGAGGGTGAGGAGCACAGGTGTGAGCCACTGTGCCCAGCCGAAGGCACTGTTTTAAGACAATGGCAGCCCCTTCCCTGGAGGTCCGGCAGGCCCCTCCTT